TCTCTCTCTCTCTCTCTCTCTCTTTCTTTCGCTCTCTCTCTCTCTCTCTCTCTCTCTCTCTCTCTCTCTCTCTCTCTCTCTCTCTCTCTCTCTCTCTCTCTCTCTCTCTCTCTCTCTCTCTCTCTCTCTCTCTCTCTCGCTGCCATGGCGGCCGTGTCGTGCTGCTGTGGCCGCGTCGTCGTGCCGTCGGCCGCGTCGTGCTGCCGCGGCCGTCGCGACGCGCTGTCGTGGCATCGCGTTGTCGCGGCGTCGACGTCAAGCCGTGGCGGCGTGACGGCGCCATCACGCTGCCGCGGCATCTATGCGACAACGCGCGGACAGCACGGACGGCAGCGGCCAGCGCCCCGTCTTAGCGCTGGACAGCACGCCCGCATGCAGCCAGCGCGCTACACGGGGCGGCACGCTCCCGGGCTCCGCTGTTGAAGCCCCGCCCCCCTTCCCCTGCGTCCCCTCTTCCTTGCCGCAGCCGACGGCTGACTCGCGCCGGCCGTCCCACCGTCGCGGAGCCCGGCCACGCCGCCGAGTGTTGCGAGCTCCGCCGCCGCCGAGTGCTGCGAGCTCCGCCGCCGCCGGGAGCTGTCGTCGAAGCCGCCGCCGCCGCAGTTGGTGCAGCTGGCCACGCCATCGCACGTCGCCGCCGCCGCCGCTGTCGACGCTGCCGTCGTCGCCGCCGTTGCAGCCGCTGCCCTCGTTGTCGACGTCGCCCCACCTCACGCGCCGTGGGGTTGACCGGGATTAAGTAGCTATCGCTGCTGCTGGGTATGGGGGTGCTAGGGGGTGTGTGGCTTAGTGTGCTGTGTGTGTGGTGGGCTTTCAGCTACCAAGCTTAGGGGGTGTGTTAAATTATATCTGTTATATAATTGTAGGCTTGGTAGGTTATCGAACTCTACTGTAGAGGGTACAACTCCCTCCTTGTATGCCTCACTCTCTTCTAGTTCTCTCTCTTTTCTCTCGTCAACTTCCTCTCTTATCTCCTAAACCTCTCGCCATTTCATGGCCACCTTCTTTCCTAGCTAAGTTAGCCTTCTATCACTAGAGTTGGTGGAACCACGAGTAAAAGTTAGCGGAATACTAACACCTTGTACGGAAATGTCTGAAATAATAAGGATAATAATAATGAGAAATACATACATATTTATAGTCTATGAGGTACCTCTAGGAATATAGCTGTTCGTAGTGTATCGCGACTATTCACGTGACATGACTAGTGATTGTTCGTGTAACTGAGAATCACATGACCCTTTGGGTGACTATACGCGTGAACCTACTGTTCACGCGTTGACTCGATACTGCTGACGTCATCACGCGCGTCCTTTCATACGAGGTATCGCACTACTAGTACAGTCGATGTGTAATATCAGGAATGCATAAGTAAACTCTGTCGAGTATACTTCAACACTTTCTACTTGTTTCACGACCAGTTAGCTATATATCTTGAGTGACACGCGCGAGTGCAATTCATGCGAACTCTGAAACACGTCGCTAGACTCGCCAGTGTTGGCTGTCTTAGAAACTTAGGACTAAAGGTTCTTAAACTTAGGAGGCTAGGTTGGCTAGGATACTAGGAAGAAGACCGCCATGGAATGGCGTGAGGAAAAACGGATCTAGGAAGGGAGGGAATGTCGAGAAGAAAGGTGGTTGGATTAGGAAGAGAGGGGAGTACAAGGAGGGGTTTGTACCCCCTACAGAAAGGTTCAGTAACAACCTACCAAGCCTATATTAAATTATAACTTATATAATTTTAACACACCCCCTAGGCTTGGTAGTGTCAAGCCCACGCACACCCCCACACCCACACCCACACCCACACCCCCTAGCCCAGCACCCCCATTCCCAGCAGCAGCCGAAACGACTCCGAAAGAGGGTAGGTCTCATGGCCCCTTGAGACGGCAATGGCGGCAGCAGCGACAGTGACGACAGCGGCGGCGGCGGCGGTGTGCGGCGGCTCCAGGCCTGCGGCAACAGCGGCGGCGCCGGGGGGCTCGAACGACAGAGGCTGGTGCGGCGGCCCCCGCCCTCTCGGCGGCATGTCCTGTCTCCTCGGCGGTGGAGAGGTCCCTCACATGGCAGTCATCGGCTGCAGCAAGAAAGGGGGGGATGCAGGGGAAGCAGGTGCAGGTGGGGGGGGGAGGGGAGGGGGCGGGGCGAGGCGAGTCTTCAGCGACGCGCCATAAATGGCGCGGCGCTTACTGGCGGGAGGACGTCGTCCTGAGGGACGCCCGTCTGTGGCGAGCGGGCGGCAGGCCCGGCGACGCCACAGACGTCGCTCGGCCGGCCGCAGCCCGACGATGCCGTCGGCTGCCGCAGACGCCGCCACAGCGCACCGTCAATGTCGCAGCGGCGAGGCGGAGGGGCGACGGCTGCACCAAGGGGCCGTCGCGACACCTTGGCGCCGCGACGGTAGGCAACGAGGGACCGTCGCGACATCTTGTTGCCGCGACGGCAGGCAACAAGGGGCCGTCGCGACATCCTGGCGTCGCGACGGCAGGCAACAAGGGGCCGTCGCGACAACTTAGTGCCGCGACGGCAGGCACCAAGGGGCCGTCGCGACATCCTGGCGCCGCGACGGCAGGCTGGCAGAAAACCGCGAAGGCTGCGAATGCAGTAGGAGTACGCAACGGGAACGTAGGGAGAGGGTCCGGTGGACACGACCGGCTCTGATACCATCTTAGAAACTTAGGACTAAAGGTTCTTAAACTTAGGAGGCTAGGTTGGCTAGGATACTAGGAAGAAGACCGCCATGGAATGGCGTGAGGAAAAACGGATCTAGGAAGGGAGGGAATGTCGAGAAGAAAGGTGGTTGGATTAGGAAAAGAGGGGAGTACAAGGAGGGGTTTGTACCACCTACAGAAAGGTTCAGTAACAACCTACCAAGCCTATATTAAATTATAACTTATATAATTTTAACAGGCTGCTGCTCGAATCTGAAATCCCCTAATTGCTCAGAGCTGGGCTTTCCTTGACATTGTCACTGTGGCTAAGTGGATTTTATTTGCGCTACCTCAGAGTGGTTTCTTTGAAACGTCAGCCCTGCTCCAAACCCTACCATGCCCAGTATATGCATGGTTTTGGCATGACAATAGCACAAACCCATGAACGAGGGATGGGAGCCATAGCATCTCGTCACTGGGGAAATGTGTTGCAAGTTGGCAGTCCATAGAAATGGATTAATTAAGTGTTTAGGAAGAGACATCTTTTTTATGAGAACGTAGAACATATCATTGAAAGAACGTGCATTGTAGTACTTCGTAAATAGTTTCATGGTGGATGGTGTTTTACACGGAGTGGGACCCACAAGAAATGTCCTGCTAAACTCTGCCACAACGTTCACGACAGCATGCACATTCATCACGTGCTGAATTCTCACCAATCGGAAGCTGGTGTCCGAGACACGCCCATGCACTTCACTCGTGTGAGGTGAACTGAACCGAAGTCCAAGTTTTCTGGGGTTAGGCTTCCTACAAGCAGAAATGTGAGGGGCCGGGCCTTATGCGAGAAGAGTTGGGTCTGCACACATTTTTTGTACGTTTGTTGAGGTTTGTTTACGGCCAAACCTTCGTGGCAAGTACCCCCGAAACATACTCAAGCTGGGAGCGATACGAAGTTGGTGTTCGAAACGCTCGCAGGAATTCGCTCCTCTAGGAACGGACCACCCCAGAGCAGCGAATTGGTGGTCCGTCCCAATTGGGCTAGGAAACCATTCACGTGCCAATTGGGCTGGTTTCCCAGCTTTGACGTCATTTCATTTGTCCCTTTTAACTGACTTTCCGGAATTGTACAAAGTGCAATCCCATTGCCAGCTTCATGGACAGCCAGACGAAAGTCTGTGAGTTTGCGTCCAGTTTTCCCGAGAGTTTGGGTGCTTTCCATGTTTTTTCAGAATGGTGTGGGTGCTTTCCCAAACCATTCCTCAGTTGTAGGTTTGCGGTGAATCTGGTTCGTCAGGCCCATATCCAACGTTCGATCTACCACGAATGTTGAAATTGGTGTTTCCGGGTAAACACTCCTCTTTCGTGAAAAAATGCTCTAAGAAACTCTATCCGTGTACGGTATTGTCCATCAAAGACCGTCTCGCAACGCACGCGCATCCTGCTGCATCTGATCCCGAAGTCGCCCATTTCCGTTTGCTGCCTCATTGATTTGGATCTCATTTGACAATCGTCATGCCAGCTGGAGTTAGGTAATTGCTGCTGGCTGGGTGTGAGTGAGTCTGGCAAAGTGCTGGCAGGCCTTGTTCTCTCGCGGTCGATCACGTGATGAATCGACCGAGTCGCATACTCAGAGTTTACTCGGTTACGATTGGCTTCAATCGAATCGAATCAGATGGTGCTTTGCAACAAGGCGAGCGCGCATAGCCAGGCTGTAGGAAATTGCTTCGCCGACATGCATCGTAAATTCCACAGTTTTGCCAGTTGAGTTAATCTGTCACACAAGCTGACTGTTTCAGCCCAAAATTACCTGCAGCTTCTGGGCGACGGTCCACGGGCACACATGTGCAAACACTATAGAGCAGAACACCTATCTAAAATTGAGGTATGATTACCGAAATCAACCGTAAACCCAACTGAAATGGAAACAAATACCATTCTGTGAGTCTGGAAAAGTCTGAGACGGTTTGAGAAACTATAGAATTAAAAAACGAAATCCCTGCTCTGCAGTACACTACAGAATTCGGTGACTGTTCTTGCACCACTCCCTGGAAGTCTGGGATCGGGGTGGGGAGGGGAAGGGGGTGGGGAGAGGTGGGGAGGGGGCTTCCAAGTCCAGCGCAGTGGTCCGTTTGCTTAGCTCGTTTCATCGTGCTGAGGAGGGGGAGAGACAACGGGCGGCTCGGGGACCTGGGGCGGGCACGGGGGAATGGGCAGATGGGAGGGAAGGACTAGACACAGGTGAAAGGGCCCCACAGGCGGTTCCGCGAAAATGTGAAAACACTCGCAACTGCTGGAGGAAAAAAACGTAAATAGCGATGCTGCATCGATAATTGGCACATCGCCAATTTGGCACTTCGATTTGATCCAACCTCCTCCTCAACCTTTTCCTTTCCTCCTCGAACCTCAGGCAGGCAGGCCCCAGCCCCAGCTCAATCACAACTGATTGGCTTCCAGACGCTTCTGGTTTACGCGACTGAGGGCGTCGTCTGCTTCTACAAATACCAAGTTTCCTTTCTATAGCTGCGGCTGTCAGTTTCGAGAGCGCCTGTTCGATAATCGCGAGCTAGTTTTTTTAATCTTGTCTTTCTCGGCTACTCATGACGCATTCGCATTCTCGAAGCTAGTAGATCTTCTGGAACAACCAATGGAAGGCGTTGAAACGTGGGACTCGCCCTCGACCCTCCGAACGCCGAATTTCCCGGCGCTAAACACGGACATTGACTATTTCAATCCCCACGGTGGCCTTCTTTCAAGTTTGGACTCTCCCGATAGCTGCATCCTGCACGGCGCGCCTCTTTTGGACCAGCACCTAACGAAATCGACAGGTTTTCTCACCGATTCGACTCTCTTCGATTCCACAGCGATCGACCCCGCCGAGGCGGCATTCATGGCTGGCGAGAACGAGATTTCGCAAGCAGAACTCGACAACTTGGCCCAATGGATCCCACAACTTGCCGGCGCCGGGGGCGGGCCGCAACCACCAATCGACGAGATCGCGGCGGAGCTACAGTCGCTCGACGCGAAGCAGTTTCTGCTACAGCAGCAGATGACGCACGTCGCCGCCGCCGCCGCCGCCGCCAGTGGTGGTAGTTTGCCTATCCGAGACGGAGAGACGGACCTGTACGCGGCGTTTGTGCAACAACAACTTCAAGTTGCGGCTGAAATGCACCGTGATGGCCCCACCGCCGCCGCGGCCGCGTTTCAAGGTCGGAAAGATGAAGGCTTCGGCGCGGAGCTTTCGCCGATGGCGGGTTTTCCCGGCAACAGCACGTCCGGAGGGAATTTCGGGGCGACGAACGCTCCGCGGCCGCGGCGTGCCGCTGCCGAGCCGCTTTCTGCTCTGGGGATGATCGAGACTAACTCTGCCGCTGCTGGTCGCAGTAACGCGCTGGAAATCCGTCCTGCCTCTCCACCGCAATCCACGGCGCAATTCTCGCGCGCGGCGAACCAACTTGCGATAGGAAACGCCCCCGGCGCGTCGACGCAGTGGCCTCCCTCAGAGGCTTCCGCGGGAGTTCAGATCGGCGCGAATTGGCTTCAGAACCAGCCGCAACAGCTGAGAATCGAACCCACGCCAGCACAAGAGGTGGGGGGAATTCCAGCGGACGAGCTCGAGGCGCTGTTTCAGCAGATCCCGGCTGATCTCGCCCCGGAGGAGCGCATCGTGCTGGCAGCGGCGCTGATGGCGGAGGTGCAGCGAAACAACGCCGCGACTCTTGGCGGCGTCGGCCACTCGCAGCACTCGCAGCGGCACCAGCCGCAGCACCAGCAGCACTCTTCTGGAAGAGCCGCTAATGCTAGTGGCATCGCTTTCGCGCCGACGCCCGTTGTCGGGAATCTGGCAGTGAATGCTGCGGCGATTCCTGGCGGTCAGCCTTCTGCATTTGCAGAAGAGCCGCAGCAGAGGCTCCTTAGCACAAGGCTGCAGCCTGAAACCCGTTTCAATGACCCCGCGTCTCTACAGGGGTTTCCTGAATTTCCGGCCGATTTCCAGGACATAGCGCAATGCATGAGCGGTCGTGTGAGCTCTGAGGCGTTTGGCGCCTCTGAGTCGAGCGCGGAGAGGGTGGCGTCTGCCCCAGGTGGTGGTGGAATGGCCAGTGGGAGCAGGGGAGAGCCCGGGGCATCGGGTGCTGGCAGGGGTGGCGGTGGTGCGAGCGGTGGCAATGCTGCGCTGAAGGCCATTAGGCCTCGGTCGGTGAAAGAGAGGAGGCGGAGAGAGAGGATAAGTGACTGTCTGAGGAGGCTGAAGACGGCCATTCCTCAGGAGATTCTTGGGGATAGGCAGGACCTTGGGTCTATGATTGAAAAGTCAGTCAGCTACATTCATACGCTCCAGGCCCGACTTGATAGCCTGGAATCTAGTGACAAGGGCAAGGGTAGGAAGGACGAGGAAATTTGACCCCTTTAAACATGAAATGACCTAAATATACGGGGAAGGTAACTCATGTTCGGACCATCTTGTCACACCACAACTTCGAGTGAACGTATAACGAGCATGCTGTAAGGGCCAGCTCGAGCGGAATTTTTTCCCCCGCCCCGCCTCCCCCTACGCATTCTCCTTTCCCTCCCCCCTCCCCCCCGATGGTCCTAAGGGCGGGGTACATGACCCCCAAGGTCGGGTTCGAGGCAAGGTTCACGGAGGCAAACTTCGCGCTACAGTAATCCTATGTACCACAGACAGCAGCACCCCATCCCCAGGGTTGCAATGTGAAAATTTTGGCAGCTCCAACTGCATGCAACCCTGGGGCAAATTTGCCTCAAGGGTAAGGGTTGCCTGCTTCTGGTACATGAGGATTGCGGGAAATCCCCAAGCCTCCAAATCAGGGCCGGCCCTGCCTGCCCAACTGTGAGGGCCAGCCTTTGGCCGCAAACCCCAAAAACGGGGTCGTGTACCGCGCCCTAACCGACCAGTCCGAGCCGCCGGAATGGAGGAGCCGCCAAAACGGCAGAATGGAGGATCCTGCACGAAACGGAACGAGATCGTTCGCGACAGATTTGAAATTATTCTCAGGTCGAATTTCAACGAAATCGTATGGCCGTTCGAAACGCCAACTGTGGTCGGCATGTCGTTTTTCGCATTCAATGCAAGTGCCCTCGTGCTGTAGAAACGGCGGGATCCCGAAAGCTGACGTCAGCGATGACCACAAAAATTCGTTGACCTTGACTAAATTGTTTGTCGTACAAACACGTTTTGATTGAGCCTCGTAACGTACAGCTCTACAGTGTGTAAGCGAAATAGCTGATGAGGCACATACCGGTATGTCACCCCTATTATGGGTACTACTAGATGTGATTTCCATTACGAATCACCAACTCAATCAAACGGATAGACATCACCAGAAGCCATTGTTCGAAGAGCATCCACAAAGGAAGGGAACTTAAGTGCTCCAAGCAACTCCCTCTTCAGCCGATTATTCCTGACCCTTTTTTCCCCATCCTCTAAAAATCTGCTGGAGCCATCACCACTACTAGAGCTCCTGGCAGAAGCACTACTGGAGCTCCTATGGTAAGCCATGCGACTCACCACATCAAGTGAATCTCCATCCCTCTCGTGGTCATCACCAAGCATTGCGACCTGATTCGTCACATCGTTTCTCAGCTCCACATTTTCAGCCTCCACTTCAGAACGAACCATTAGTTCCGCACCAGTCGCAACGGTGGGACGCAGCGTCCCTTTATGCTCCTCCTCTAGCCCTCTCGCCGCCCCCCTGCCGCCCCGTCGGATGATTCCGGGTGGCAGAGCGAGCCGCAGAGCCTCCAGCTTCTGCCAGTAGAGATCTGATTCTCCCAAGGCGATGAGCTGGCGAGCGAACTGCATGACGTGTCGGCGAGGGGACGTGTCGTCATCCACTATGTTGATGATTGAACTGGGGGAAACAGGTGGCGGGAGGAAGGTGGGGGGGGGAATGTGGGAGCAATGGGACAGGGGTTGAGCAATGGGATGGAACCCCATCGTTTCGTGCTACCACAGTCCTCCATGCTAACCATGATTGCAGCTTAGATGTCAGCCACGTGGCACCATAAAGTGAGGCACCTCGAACCTTGTCCTCCCATGCCCCGATCCCCGTGCATCCCACCCATTGCCCACCTGCTCCCGCGGCCGTCCATGCTAGCCATGATTGCAGCGCAGATGTCTGCCACGTGGCACCGCGATGTGAACCGCTTTCTCTGCCTGCGCTCGCGATTGCTGCTGCTATCCCAACTGCTGCTGAGCTCTCGGCTCGTGATGCTGCCCTCTCCATGGCTGCTCTCCCCAGGCCTGCTTCTCCTCGGATTGAGCATTGCTGTTGACTGGGGCGCTGTCCCTTCCCCCATCCCCATCTCCGCTGCTGCTGTGTCCAGAGCACTGGAAGGAAGGGGCGGGGAGGGGAAGAGGGGGAGGGCAGAGGAGAGGAGAGGAGAGGAGAGGAGGAGTTGCGTGGAGAGGAGAGGTTAGGTGAGAAAGGGGAGGAATCTACGCAGAGCGGAAGCGAGGTAAATGACCGGGCAATCACGATCAATAGGTGGCACATACCTACCTGCGAAAAGTCCCATAGATTCCCGCAGGCCAGAACACTCTGTGGTTAAGCAGTTAGTTTTGAGACGTCTCAAAACTAATAGGTGGCATGTACCTGCGGAAAGGCCCGTAGATTCCCCCAAGCCGGAATACACGAACAGCAATAGCATCCTCGCCCTTCATCAGGTCTGCATCACTCCTGCTCTCATTCGCCATCAGCTCATCAGATACAGCCTCCCCCAGCTGCCCCCTCGTTGCATCGGGTACCACCTTTCCCAGTTGCGCCTGGAACGCCAGCCACTCTCTCTCTGCAGCATATCGTGCGACGGCCTTTGGGGTAACCGGGCGGGGCACTGAGCTGTGATGTTACAGGAGGGAGGGGGGGGAGATGGAAACAGGTGTGACTAAAGAGGGGGAGTGGCACACGATTTAGCAGGGTAGGGGGTTCGAACAACCTGAACGTGAGTGAAGGGAAGGTGAGTAGAGCGGAGGGACGAGCGGAGATGAGGAAAGAAGGGCTCACAAGTTTCCTCACTCACTCACCCACTCACTCACTCACTCTCTCTCTGCTGGCTGACTCACTCTTCGTCTACCCAATCGCCGCCCCAGTCACCATAGACGCCAGTGGAAGAGAGGTATCCGATCCACCTGAGTCTGTTGCTGGCAGCCAGCGTCAGGTGCTGACAACAGGAGGAAAGCACCTGAAGAAACACATGGGGGGCGGAAGAAGGGAAAGATGACCGAGAGAAGGACACGTGTGTATGGGGTGGCTGGCAGCCATGGGCGGAAGAGAAAACGACTGCCGAAACGATTTACGAGGCAACGATCTCTGAGGTGGATGCAAACACTGTCATATCACACGCAAAAAACAAGATAAGCGAGGTGCATCCTGACTCGGACTCGAAATACCCCTATTTCAGAGGCGCCTAAAAGTGACTGTGCATACACTGTCTTCACACACGGAAGGGGCAGGATGAGCGAGCAGTCATTGGTGGAGGAGCGAAAGACCTCAGAAGCCAAGCAACAATCAACCACTTGTGGTTGCCTGCCTCACCATGTCAACGTGTTGCGCGGATGCGGTGTCCGTGGGAAGGAGAGGGGGGGTGTGGGTGAGGACGTGTGTGGCGGAGAGGACAGCAGGCAGAGAGGTGTGAAGAAGAGAGGTGGAGACAGGTTGGCGAAGGTGGGGTGCACTTGTGGTTGACTTACCACGTCAACAGGTTGCGAAGGCGGGGTATGAGGAGACAGGAGAGGGGGGATGGAGACGAGGACGTGTGAGGCGGAGAGGAGATCAGGCAGCGAGGAATCCACGAGAATCAAAGCCCTGATTGGGAGGGGAGGTGAGTGAGGAGGGCGCAGGGAGGCAGTGAGGAACGAGAGGGAGAGGAAGGAAGATTGGGTGAACGAGTGGAGTGAGGATAGGGGAGAATGGAGTGGGGAGAGGGGAGAATGGAGTGAGGAGAGAGGAGAATGGAGTGGGGAGAGGGGAGAACGGAGTGGGGAGTGAGTTGGGGAGCGAGTGGGGGAAGTAGGGGAGGGATGGACAGGTGGCATGGAGGGGAGATGGCATGCTGACCTGTCACTGCCATCCTCTTCCACCAGGTGTGCTTGTATCCCCATGTGACACAACCGAAGCCAGTCGTCCTTGCTCCTGCACGTGCCGGACACACGCCTGACATGTGCGGGGCACACGCAAAGGCATGGGCAATAGATGAGAGACTGATGGGAAATTAATGTAAGATCAATGGGGAATAGGTGCGCCCACCAGCCCACTTGCGTAGGGACGTCTTGCAACCCACCATCCGTTCGTTAGTAGCACACTCGACAGCGCCACAGCCACGTATCCCAGCCCGAAGCAGAACAGGTGGCGGCCGCCGCCAGGCGTGGCGCGCTCCTCCGGCAATCCCGAGGTGGCGGGGGAAGGGGAAGAGGCGCACGCCGCCCCTCCCGAGGCGGACAGGGACGAGGGGATGGCGGAACGCGAACCCGAGGTGGCGGGGGAAGCGGAAGTGGAAGCGGCGGAGAACGGCAATCCCGAGGGTGCGGCGGACGAAGAGGGGGAAACCGCTGCTCCCCAGCGCGACCTTCCTAAGGCGGAGGCTGCGTCGCGGGGAGCGGCGGAAGCGGCGAATCTGCGGAAAGCGGAGGAAGCTGAGGAAGCGGGGGAGACGTTAGCAGCGCAGCAACACGAAATTGGACGGTGATGAATGATTCCTCCCGCCTGGATCAGATGGCTGAGGAAGGGCTGCTGATTGGATCCAAGCAAAATGCGGGGGACACGCAGCGAATACGCGGATATGGAGAGATGACTATAGCGAGGATAACGCGTACACGAAGGACGTGCGGAATTCGTATGCGGGGAGGCAAGTGTCAACGGTAGCGCAATCCACGGGGCAGCCATTGTGAAAGTGAGCAAGCAAGCCCCGAGTACGTGCCGAGTACGCTACCGGGGTTCAAATCGTGAAAACCGCTCCCTACCGTGCAGAACCTTACTTCACCTGTAGTGTACTGCTTGCTGTCTGCAATTACATGCATTCCTAACAGCAATAGGGTTCAGTCACTTCTAAAGAAATTTGTTTTGCATAAATAAGTCCCAAAACAAACTCTTGTCTGTGGAATCATCTGCGTCATGAACGTCCTTCGGCTTTAAAAGCACGGTCGTTTGATCCTGCAAAGATCACACGAAAAGGAAGCGAAAGCACCACAAAAGGAACTTAGTGAGCACCAGGTAGATTTTTGTAACCTGCGCTTTCTGGTCAAACCCCCCCCCCCCCCCCCCCCCCACCCCACCCCCGTACACCCCCACCCCAATCACCAGGCACTCGTTTGGAAAGCTGGCCTCGGCAGCAAACTGCTCAAGCGATTCGCGGGCAATGGCAAGCACTTGATCGTCGAGAGGCTCATAGCCGGGGCAGAGGAAGGCAGCATGGAGGGCGAAGAAGAGTGCGAGCTTGAGAGAGGTGGGATGCTCCACACAGTGGATTCGGCTGCACAGAGACACGCACATGCATCACATGCATCGCACACATACGTGCCCCCCCCCCCCCCCCCACGCACGCACGCATGCACGCACGCAACCACATCAATGCATCACCGCATACATACATGCCACCCTCGAAAACGTACAACAGGAAAACAAGCCACAGCACATGGCATCAAGGCAAATGCAAACGCCCAGACTTTTGAGTCGACTCAAGACTCACAAGCCACAGCACACGGCATCAAGGCAAATGCAAACGCCCGGAATGAGAAAGTAGAGAAGCACAACTGCTGTCCCACCTTCTGAGGTGTTGGAAGCAGCCAATCACAGCTGCCACCCACCCCCCTGCCACTCCAACCTGCTGCTCCCCCACTTGACTTCCCCCCTCCCCCTCTCCCCTCCTCTCTCCCACTGCCTCTTCCCTCCTCTCTCCTCCTTCCACCAACACCAGCCTCTGGAACCACCTCTCTGCCACGTCAGCATCCACATCCAGACGCCACATCAGTGCCACCCACCGGGTCCACACAGAGCGTGCAGCTTCCAGGAAATGAGGCTGTAATGATGCAGCCTCAAACTGTAGGCTAAGAACTCTTCCATGGTTCCCCTCCCATTCCTCCAAACGTGGCCCTGCTCTCTTCTCCGCCAGCTCACACCATGCTCGTTCCAGCTGGCGCCGCGTTGCGTCCTTGCTAGCTCCGTTGTAAATGGCCACGTCAGCATGTGCTAGTCTGGCAGATGACGTCATCTGGGCAGCAATCCTCTTCCCCGCCTCCTCCTCAGTCACCCCATTCCTGGCCATCAGCCGAGCCTTCGCCTCAGGCTCGGGGACAAACACCACCCAGACCTCGTCCACGGTTCGGTCCGAGCCTGCTTCAACCATCATAGCAGCCTCCACTATAAGCACATCCGCAGGGGGTGTTATAGGGCGGATGGCACTTGGGAAGCCTGAAAAGGAAGGTGTTGCTGCTGCGGGGGGTTCAGCAGTAGAAGCAGCAGCAGATGCACCACCAGTACCAGCAGCAGCAACAGCACCATCACCAGCATCTGCAGCAGGAGCAGCACTGCCACCACATTTTACCTCCTCCTCCCTCCCCTCCATTTTGCTTCCCTCTCTTTCAGTCATTGTCGTCTGTTCTCCCACCCCTCTAATTTCCACCTCCCATTCCCCCGCCCCTGCAGCTTCCCTCTCGTCCTCCACTATCTGTCGCACCATGGGCCACACCACTCCGGTCAGGGCAGCCATCTTCTCCGGGCAGGAAAAAACTTGCGCTCCCAGAGCTGCCCGGTCAATCTGACCATCTGCGAAAGAAAAAAGGGAGCGGGGTTTGTTGTCGACCACTAACGTGGCGGGACATGTAACCAGTCGCACAGATGACATGACAACCGATTCCACCTGCAGATGAGATGTAACCCACCTGCCATCCGCACCACAGATGGTCCAAAGATCTCCACAATCCCGCGATAAGCGGGAGTACCGGGCTCGTAAGCCCGGTGCGCCAATCTGTCACAGTCCAGCACCTGCACCCTCCAATGCCGCTGGTCCCTCACAGCTTCCCCCCTTGCAGCTTGTTCAATAGGAGAAGCAGCAGTGGAAGCAGCAGGGATTGCAGCAGCAGCAGCAGCAGGAGCAGTAGGAGCAGCTGTGGGAGAAGCAGCAGCAGCAGCAGCAGGAGCAGGAGCAGTAGGAGCAGCTGTGGGAGAAGCAGCAGCAAGCGTGGGAGCAGAGGAGTATGAGGAGGAGGAGGAGGGGGAAGTGGTAGGGAGTGAGAGGAGCAAGCGGGCAACAGTGGACTTGCCAGAGGCGATGCCTCCTGTCAGCCCCACCAGGTACGGCCCTGTCTGCAGCCGCCCCTTGTGCTGCCGCCGCTGCCGCTTGCTTGACTGCTCGCTGCTGTGAAGGGACGGAGAAGGGGAGGAGAGAGGAGAGGAGAAAGGAGAGGAGGGAGGGGATCGGGGAGAGCATAGAGGAGAGAAAAGTCTCTACGGAGGCTGTGAGGCGGGGGAAGGCAAGCAAACAAGCAAGCAAACAAGCAAGCAAACAAGCAAGCAAACAAGCAAGCAAACAAGCAAGCAAACAAGCAAGCAAACAAGTGAGCAAACAAGCAAGCAAACAAGCAAGCAAACAGCAGCTCTTGGGTGGGCTCAAGAGGAAAGGCGACTCAAGACGCGTACAGGGAGAAGTGGCTTGAGAAGCCTGAGAAGAACGGAAGGAAGGATGTGTGAGGGACTTGCCTTGGCGGAGGGAGGAAGGTTCCGAGACATTGCTCCCTGAGCGTGGAGGAGCTTAGCTTGCTGACGTCAGCAGCCAGGGTGCTGCTGCTGGTGCTGCTGGTGTTGGTGGTGGTGGCAGTGGTGGAAGGAATTGGAAGGACAGCGGTTGGTGCAGGCACTGTTGACGCCACTACTACCTGGTTCACATGTGCACACACACCCACCCCCCACCCCCCCACCTCCCCCCCCCACACACACACGTGTGCACGTGCACACACACAGAAGGGTAGGGAAAAGGAAGGATGCGAACCTCGTCACTCAACGTTAGATCACCAAAGGAAGTGATGAGCTGGATAGGGCACCAAATGCACAACAAGAGTAAGTACGATAGGAATAAATACCAAGTAGAACAATCCATGCTGCACTCACGTGCAACAGAGCAATCCCATTGGCCGCTCTCGCCTTGTTGATAGCCGCAGAGCCGCCCACCGTCTCCTCGCTGACCACAATGCAGTCCAGGCTCGGATCCGAGCCTCCCCGCTCAGGTACGGCGGCCTGGATCGGCGCAAACTCCACCCAAACCAGGCCTGAAGCCTTGCCCTGCCGCTGCAGCTCCTCCTGCAGAAACTTCTCAGCAGCTTCCTTGCGCTGCTCGTAGGGCTGAATCATCTGCGCGGAGGCGGATTCGGGGAGATGGGGGGAAACAAGCGGGGGGAGGGAAACGGGGGGGGGGGGAGGGGGAGGGGGATCAGGGGGGGAAGTCGGAGGGGGGGGGGGGGGGGGGGGGGTGGTCATTCCGGGCAGGAGGGGTGCATGTGGGGAGGGGGGGGGAGGGAGAGGAAAGGGAGGAGAGGAGGGATTGTGGAATGACGAGGAACAGGGAGCAAGGGGCTGAGGCGACGGAACGTGGCAACACGGTGATCGTCAGCTCACCTCGCTGAGGTACTTCCCGGCCAGCAGCGGACCATCGGCAATCCCCACGACGATGCAGCTGCTGCTGCGGCCGTCGCTGCTGCGGCCATCGCTGCTGCTGGCCTTGCTGCAGCTATTGCTGCGGTTGTCTCCCTCACCCCCGTCTTCTGCCGTCGCCATCGCTACAGCCGTGCGCAGCAGCGTGCGATGCCCGTCGTGGAAGCGATCGAACGTTCCAGCTACAACCACACCGCGGAATCTGCCACGTGGCAGCAGGTCATTCGACGACGGATCAAAGCGGCTGATTAGATCTTCGTTCCCTGAGATGCCATTTTGATCAGTTTCTAGGAAACTACTTGACGGGGGTGCAAGAAGGTCGGATTCCACGTGGGTTAATGTCGAGTCAGCTTGTATCGAAACATTCTCGTCCTCAACAACCGCCATAGTGCTGCCAGCTGCGACGCTCAAACCGCGGCGAGGCTCTGATTCCGAGGCGAAATCGCCTGACCCTGTTGTCGCATCTTCGCCGAAAGATCTGGTCGCCCGTGAAGTTACCACTCTCGGCATTCCCAATGTTCGAATCTGCTGGAACGGGAACCTTCGACAGTGGAACGAACCAGTAAGAGCGTTTGGGCCTCTCCCCTCCGGCTCTGTCGTACCACTAGTACGGCGCCGAAGACCCTTCGGAAACGGAGCGAATAGCGGCGGTATCGGGGGACGACACGCGCAGGACAGCACGCCCGCCATGCACGGCACCGCAATGAGCGACTGCGACTTCCTAGAATATCCGTACTTCCATCAAAACACCACTGAAACAGACAACTTAGGGCCCTGTTCGGCGGCAGGTTTTGGAACCCGCTGGAGGGTATTCTCAACAAGTTCGGGAGGGCTTAAAGCCTACAATCTCAAATTTGTCACACCGAACCCGAGGCAAATAAACCGGCTACTGAACAGGCTATCGTGAAACGATTGGCCAAGGAATCCTCCAAGCACATTCCGTCACCGGCGATTTGGGTGCGCGCAATAAACCAGCAAAGAATTTGGGTCGAGCCCGATTCTCTGCTGTTTTCTTTTCTTTTCTTTTCTTTTCTTTTCTTTTGGGTTGCAGGGCAGCCTATTGAGATCGATCGTAAGAAAAAAAATTGGGGTGCGGAGCAACCTATTGCGATTGATCGTAAGAATATTTTTTTCCAAGTTTGCGATGTGGAAAAACTACCAAATCTTTAAAAAAAAACTTAATGAATTTCCCAATAACTTTTTGTTTCCCTGATTGATTTGAATCTAAAATGTTTGTCATTGTTTCTCATTATTTCCCGTGGCATCTTTTTGTCATTGACAAAAAAATAGGCTATCGCTTCCCCAGCTAAGTGGGGAAAGTCGAAAGCCTATTATGTCGACCGTGAGATAATACATTTTATCATAGCAAGAATAATTGATTGCACTTATCGTCTCCAGTTCAAGTGACAGCACTCAAAGAGAGAGTCAAAGAACCTTGCTTGAAATGATAAGATTAACCCACTTTCTTACTCCAACGAAATGCTTATCCATGTGGTAAATGGATGTTATTGGGCCAACAACAGACACGAAGTGAAAATCATCAGCAAGCAATAAAAAAAATGGACAAGCAACAATGCAATTCAGACAACTTGGAATAGAAACGGTGTTTAGCTAACGCCCATAATGAAGCCACTTTTCAGCTTTCACGAGTGCTTGGAATCATGTGTCAAGTATACAAGAATACAAGGGAATTAGAGGGGATCAGGAAACAAGGCAAGAAGTAGAGCAAGAAACAGACGTTGAACACAAATTAGATAATAATACAAGAAAGTAAGAAGAAGGGGTTGCAGAAAAACGGCAAAACGGAAGTCAAAACGGGTTGCAACTCAATAAATCGACCTAGATCTAGGTCGCAGTGGGCTGCAGCTCCATAAATTGATCTAGGTCCCATAAATTGCAGCAAGGTCGCAATCCCTAAAATCGACCTAGAACGAAGTCGATATGGGTTGCAGCCTTGTAGATCGACCTAGAACTATGCTGAAATGGGTTGCAGCCCCCTAATAACGACCTAGAACGAGGTCGGGCTGCAGCCCACTTTTACGACCTATAACAAGGTCGAAATGGGTTGCAGCCCAATATCTCCACCTAGAACTATCGAGGTCGCGGAAAGAAAATAGGAAATCTGGGGAAATTAGAGGCAACCCTTCAGTGACTTTAATGCCTAGGACGCTATGAATAACATATATGTACTATGAGAGGTAGCTCTGCTGAGGAGATTGTTAGGCAAGAGGAAAACCAGAAACGAGTTGCTGAGGTTGTTGGACCCTCGTCGCAAATTTACGATTGGTTTAAATACAAATTGTCTCACTCACGAGTATTTTAGTTCAATCGTTTGAATGTCGTTGGCACAATCGCTCTCGGGTTCGAGTCTTGCCTTAAGGAAAAAAGTTGTCACTATTTCGTACACTGTCTCCCTAAAACTTAATTTACATACATCGCATCAATTTTCAAATAAATATGTGAAACAGCATCATTCGTTCTTGTCATATATAAATAATAATCAAATGTTTGTTGTGATGGGGGGAGGCGGTGTGTCAGGCGGTCGGTACAGCCCTACCTGACACCTGGAAGCACATACTGCCCTGGTGTCAGGGTAGTTCGAAGCACACGGCAATATTTCGTGCTCTCAGAAACCGGTAAATATCGCGTCAATACATCAATTTCAGCGTCGCATGTATTCACCGTCCAACTGATGCGAAACAAGCTGAGCCAGTAAGGATTCCCCACGACCTTGGTCTGCGATTGCTGAAATGTGAAGAAATCTCCCGAGCAATCCGGACGAAATCATGCGAAAAGTGCAGCTAGCAACTGGCAGGTCACCAATACAGTATTTTGGAGGGGGGGGGGGGGGGGGGGGGGGGGCTAGGAGTCTGCCATCCAACGCAACTCGCTTTCCCGCTCGTTGTGGTTGTACACAGTGGCAGTCGCTTGTATCGCACGCGACCTCGCTAGTGCAACCTGGCGACACTTTTAGTGCTCCTGGCGTCAAGGGTCGTGCAATGGCCGTTAGGTCGACCTGTACCCCGGGTCAGCTCGGCATACCTGTACCAACTGCCTGACACGCAGTCTAACTTTGCCCTAACATGACGGGATTCGCCTTGCATATGCTCCTAGACATGCATGGGAATTCCCGAAAGGGATAGCTAGACATGCATGAGATTCTTAGACAGAGATGCCTAGAGATATCCGAACAAGACACTTGCTACCCTAAAGTTTATCCTCCTATCTTGCTGGAAGGAGATGTCCAGTAGAGCAGAGCATCGAAGCGCTATGCCAAAATGCTATGCTTGATGGACACGCCACTTTTCTCCCGAGTCGCTACCCTTTCCTTCCTAGTATAAATATCTCTCTCCTTAACTTGTATGTATCTTATCTATCTTCTTGATCATCCTTCTTGTCTCTTATTGGAACTAGTCTCCAACCTAGTTGAATAAACTTCCTCTCCTCTCTTCCGTTGTGCACTCTTTCCCTACGGCGCAGCCAGGCCTGGCTTGGCCAGCCGTCCCTAGCTTGGTGGCGCCGTACCGTTTCATTTTGGCACCGGAGATAAGAGAGAGGACCCTAGACTAGCAAGTGTCTAGTTCGAATAGCTCTAAGCATCTCAATATGAGAATCCCATGCATGCCTAGCTATCGCTTTCAGGAATTCCCATGCATGTCTATACTTCCATGCATGGCGAATCCCATCTTGTTACTGTGACTTCTTCTCTGGCCTAGAAGCTACTAGACTTGGCTTTATCACTCTGATCCTTATCTAGACGATACATGGAACTGCAACAGCCTGCAGTATGGGTTGCAGCTGTATGCCTACCTCCACCCTAAATTCTCCCCTGGCCCTTTACTTGATTTTTTCTCTAGACAACTTTACACCTGAAGATTGAAGACTCGACGTTCCTGAAGTTTTTTTTTTTTTTTTTTTTTTTTTTTTTTTTTGGATCCTGTAGTTGATGGTGTTTTCGTTAAGCATCGAGGACGATGCTTCTTAGGGAAGGGAGTAATGTAACCTGACGGGATTCGCTATGCATGTGCTCCTAGACATGCATGGGAATTCCTGAAAGGGATAGCTAGCCATGCATGAGATTCTTAGACTGAGATGCCTAGAGCTATCCGAACAAGACACTTGCTATCCTACAGTATATCCTCTTATCTCTGCTGGAAGGAGATGTCCAGCAGAGCATAGCATCGAGGCGCTATGCCAAGAAGCTATGCTTGATGGACACGCGACTATTCTCCCGAGTCGCTTCCCTTTTCCTTCCTAGTATAAATATCTCTCTCCTTAACTTGTATGTATCTTTTCTATCTTTTGATCATCTTTCTTCCCTCTTCTTGCAACTAGTTGAATAAACTTCCTCTCCTCTCTTCCGCTGCACACTCTTTCCCTACGGCGCAGCTAGGCCCGGCTTGGCCAGCCGTCCCTAGCTTGGTGGCGCCGTACCGTTTCAGTGTCACACGGTGGTCGCTATGGTTGTTAGTCGTGGCATGCCTCGTCGGGTAACGTTTTGTCAGAAATTGGGGGGAAAGGAAGAAAGCGCTAGTAATTGTAAGTTACATTCACGTTTAGCTTCGGGAAGGAGGGATGCGAAGGGTGGAGAAACAACAAAACGACTAATGGAAAGAGAGGAAAGGAACAACCTTGCGTGAGCGGAAGAGCGATTGCGGCGGGTGGCGGTGGCAAACGATTGCCTGAGGTGTATTTGCCTCAGGGATTCCGGAGCGAGTGTCTGACCCGAGGTCGACCCGCGGCCGAAGGAGGCGCGGGTTGTCACAACCTAATTGCACGTTTTATCGGTGAAGCGGCTGCACTGTCACGAACTGTCGCAGGGGGAGGGTAACGATTATACTGGCCGAACTTTGCGAATCCACAAGATATTTGTGACTTAACGATTGGTGAATGTTCATTTGCGCGACATTGTCAGTCGTTCGGTTTGACAGCTGACTGGCTGGAGCCGTCAGTTTTTAGGAAGACTCGAGGCAATTTTTTTCCAGCCTCGGATCTTCCCGCTTAACCCTCGGGTCTAACACCCGCTGCAGAATCTGCCCTTATGTTCTGGTTGGTAGCTGGGATCCCCTTTTGACGCTGTAAAAGCCCCGGGGCTATTCTTGTGAGGGCAGGCACCCACTACTGTTTGTGTGCCCCCCAGCGTTGGCGGGCATGACCGAAATTTGCTTGCCAAAAATTCCCCAACCCACGTGTGAACTCGCTGGAATTCCCGCAAAGCTCACAAAATTCCCCGGGTACTTGACGCGGCTGGGATTTTCCAAAAACGACGAGTGGCCATCCGATAAACTAGGCCAATTTATCGCCGCCGAGCAGGGCCTCGATTTCACAGCAATCCGTACATATTGGGAATGAAATATGATGCATCAAGTATCCAAAAGCATGCCTGTACTTGGTAAACCGCATCTTTTTTAAAGCGAGAGGTCAAAATAGTGAAGGCGGGTCCAATTTGAAAAGGCCCAGACGTCTGTTTTTGCGACTAAGGGACAAAACTGCGATGGGGCAGAGGGTACGCAGTCGAGAAATGCGAGCAGGGGAAACCGGGCGAGAAGATGCAGTTACCTGATTGGTTGGCGGGAAAAATATGTCGTACGGTGGGGAAAATGGCTCGGGCAAAATTGCAAGCAGCGCACCACCTGTCGCCCAGCCCCCACTGCCTGTAAGCTGCACCAAGTGGGCCCAACTTGAATTTCAAGTTGGACCCGGGTTCACTACACCAGCAAAACTGAGGCTGGGCCCCGATTGGTCGAAATGCTAACCACGCAAATCTATGGTCGTAAAATTCGTCGCCAGTGCGAAATGTCGCAAGCGCAATTCGATTTCGTGGCCTACGGCTTGGTCAAAAACGGGGGCTGCTGCCTGCCCCTCCAAAAACATATTCACTGCTAGGTCGTTTCTAGTTGGGCCCAACTAGAAAGGGGGGTCACTATTATAGTCTCTCGCTTTAAGGTGACTTGGCTTGGGGAGATGTTGATGCAAGTTCTTCGCTCCACTCAATATCGAGAACCTGCCTTCGGTAGCTTCGCCAGGTACCACCGCACAGAGGTCAATGGTTGGCATTCATCAGCTTCACTGTTCACTGACTCGTGCATCAAGGGACTTGCTGACGTGCTTGAACCAGACATGAACCCTCCAACACGCCAACGTTTGCTGACGCCGTCAGATTGATTTCATCCAATTATGGAGGAGTTTATGGAGTTCGGTTCGGATCGTACAATTGCGCTTTTCATGGAAAAGAGAGCACGGCTTGGCGTTTTTAGGGGTACTGTTTCGGGAATGCGGCAGCAGTTTCGGTTGTATCCAACGGAATGAGCCAGCTGGATCTGAGATTATGTACGCAAACTGCGCAACACAACGTATGCCTCGCAATTTGCCCCAGAAATGCCATGCTTGCCCCAGCAGGCTGTATTGCACTGTAGGCTGGAAACGTGTGGAGAACAGTAGCATTTAATCGCATGGCTGAAATGCTTTGTGATAATTTGTTACAGCCTTCTCAACACTACTGTAAAACAGTTGTGATTCAGTCACACATACACAGTACACTCGATTATGAAATACAATATTACGTATTGCAGTCTTCTTTTCGTTACACTCGCCCTAAGTTTGGTTCAACTTTGTATTGTTGCACGGAGGGCGAGTCCTGTCGAATGTGGGCTTCTCAGGCGAGTGACTGTATAGCGTTGCAGTCACCAAGCAGATGAAACAATCGTTCCCGTCCGAAACGAAACCTACGATTTTAACGAACAATTATTGTATCTTTTAGTGTACATTGGGATCCGATGTCTGATCACCACATTTGTTTTCCTGATACACAGTTTTCTTAAATGCCCAGCCCGTGTGTTTTACGCGTGGACAGCAGCAGCCGCGCGAGCCGGATGCTGCAACCACCCTCGTGTCTTCAGAAACCGCTAAGTGCCAAACACTCTCCAGCTGGAATCAACCGAAATGAACCAGCCGCGAAACCGAAACCGCTAGCGATTGGTGGATGGAACTGTCTGCTCTGGGGCAATGTGTGTCTGTCCTGTCCGTGCATTGCCCAGGCCGCGGTCCAGCCTGCTGCTCCTCGCCTTCCTTCCACACTTCCCCCCACCCCCGCGCCCGCAACACCCCCCCCCCCCCACCCCACCCCCCACCCCCCCATTGCGCCTTCTCGTTGCGTCCATTTCTTTGCGCGTCTTGTGGCCGGTTTTTTTTTCTCTCTCTCGTCTTTTCCTCTTTCCCTTCGGGGATGACCGCACTGACTACAATTCGTTAATAAACAGAAAAAGAAAATAAAAACCTTGGTGGTTGCGGAGAGAGGGAGCATTCCGGTACCACCTCTAAGCGAAGCGTCTCATTCGATAAATCATTGCATAGACATAGTAGCAGGGTAACTGATCGCGATGCCATTGCTTTCATAAGTTCCGACGGACACTGTTCTGGTTAAAAAATATTTTTTAAAAGTTATTTTTGCACGGCAACAAGCTCACAATTTCGTCCACTCCAGATACACCTTCCACTGCTGGCTCAATTTCAACTCTTCCCCCTACGTTTCCACTCTGAAGTCTCGATAAGCAGAAGGCCAAGGATTTGTCTGCCTGCGCTATTGTTACTGCAGAGCATTTTACATTCTCTAGCACTGTCACTCTCTACGTCTTCTGACTACAGGTTAGTGAAGATCGACTCTCGACGCGATCGCTCCCATTGACTCAAACCGATTTGACACTGCCGCCATGTCGGGACCAACTTTTCAGGCCAAATTGCTCGATGATTCCATCCCCTTCCTCCACAAGCCGTGCGACACTTGCTCTTGCGACCAGCGCGACGAACATCTAGACGGAGATTTCAAAACTCCGTCAAAGTGTGACGGAAGATCGTCGAACGGATTGATGATTTCCGACGCAATCCGTTCCTGGGAAGGGGCCGCCGTCCACGACGCCTGGTTGCGAGTCAGCGGCGACTCCGTGCGACAGGGATGCGACGTCGGACGACAGGGGTGCGACGGCGTCGCAGAAGCACCCAATCGCTCGCCGACAAGTCCTCTAGAAGCTTCCAAGTCAGCGAATTGTGCGATGCTGGCGAACGATCTGGGATCCTTCGCCAGAAAAGAGTCGTCCGTGACGGTGACGACGCCGCCGCTGTGTCCACATGGCCGCTTGGCATGGACGCCGCCCGCCGCAACACCCGCCGCAACACCCGCCGCGACATCCGGCGCCGTCAAGGCCGTCGCTGTCTCACCGCCGCCCAGCAGCGCCCACTCCGCAACACCCACTTCTGGCGCAAGCTACGGCAGCATCGGAGCGCGCAGTTTTGGTGCTGACGTGGATGTCAGTCGGAAACGAAGCAGCCGGATTAACTCCAGGAGTTGCGACAACAGCAGCAGCAGCATTTTCGGGAGCTCCAGCGGTCCCGTTATTGTCAGCCCCGTTGGAAGTACAGCGGAATGGACGGCGGTGATTCCATCTGTCGCTGTCGCAGGAGGCGAGCAATCAAGGCCGTCGGTCTCTTACCACGACTGTGATGGGGCGAATTACCCTGGCGAGGCTAAGTGCGCACTGAACAAGACCCTAACCCTAACCTCGGGCGGAGGCTCGGCGCCACTGCCGAAGCTGAGTGAGCAGCCTCGGTGGCAGTTGGAGCGACGAGCATCTGAATCAGCAGCAATGCCGGCGCGAGCAGGGGCAACCAGGGGCGGAGGAAACGCGGGCGGAGCGGCAGTGAGACAGTCGGTGTTTGAATGGGCGACAGAGACACGGATTAAGCTGCGGCAGCAGCGGCTGAGGAAGCGAGCCGGGGAGCTGAATATGGGAGGAGCTGCTATGTTGGAAGCAAGCAGTCCAGGTAGCAAAGAGGTGTTATGGGCGACAGAGACAAGAATAAAGCTGCGGCAGCAGCGGCAGAGGGAGAGAGCCGCAGAGCAGCAATTGGGAGGAGCTGTTGTGGTGGAAGCAAGCAGTCAGGGCAGCAAGGAGGAGCAAGGGTTGAAAAGTGCAGCAGAGAGAGAGATTGATTGGTTCGTATGTGGACCAACTGAAGGCACGTGAGCGCACTAGTTTCTATCCACCCTCGCCCTCTGTGGCTTAATAAGGATGATTGGGGTAGGTGGCACCGGCGGTACATGCATGTGATGCCTCTGATTGATTGTCATGCCTCTCTATGCCTCTACGCTTGTGATCCCTTGTAACTAGCAGTAACAGAAACACGTTTAAATGCCCCTCCCCTCTTATGCATGCGAAATCTCTCAATTGGCCCAATGATATCACATGATCACACATCACACGGTCAATGCTGTATGCCCAGGAAGGAGCCACCTGCCAGAGGGCGCTATATGTACATTAGAGAGTACAGAACATGCACACACAGAGTGGTCCGACACCCAGCACATGGGTCTTCACCCTGTAAACCCTAACACAGGTTTGTTGCAGCTAAGGTTCTGACTGGGAGGGGAGTCATCTGTCTCATGTGGGGCTTAAAGCCCCGGTGCCAAGAGCTCAATGCTCACTAAGCCCACCTACCACCTACTCATTGCCTGTCTTTCCAGTGGCACGTCCCGCACTCCCATGGCTGGCGTGCACGTGCCATCTGCTGCCTTGTCTACCAGATACCCACCAACATGCCGCACGCATGCTGAACCCACTCACTACCCCTCCAGCTGCCTGTCTTTCGCGGTCAGCGCCACGTAGCGCACGCCCATAGCTGACGTGCTGCAACCCCCTCCTGCCTGTCCCTCCTCCGATACACCCACCCACTCACTCACTCACTTCCTCCATCACCCGCTCACTGCCCCTCACTGCCCTTCCAGTTGCCTGACTCTACCGGTCAGCAGCACGTAGCGCACGGCCATGGCCGACATGCTGCACCCCCCTCCTGCCTGTCCCTCCTTCAATGCACCCACTCACACACTCACTCCCCCCCCACTCACACACTCACTCCCCCCCCACTCACTCAGTGCCCTTCCAGCTGCCTGTCCTTAGCAGTCAGCGGCACGTATCGCACGCCCATGGCTGACGTGCGCGTGACAGTGCCGTCTGCAGCCTTGTCAATCACCTCTAGGTCCTGCGGGGGGACGAGCGGAACAGGAGAGGGGAAGAGGAGAGGGGAAGAGGAGAGGGGAAGAGGAGAAGGGAATAGGAGAGGGGAGGAGGAGAGGGGAACAGGAGAGAGGAGCAGGAGAGGAGAACAGGAGAGGAGAACAGGAGAGGAGAACAGGAGAGGGGAACAGCAGAGGGGAGTAGGAGAGGAGAACAGGAGAGGAGAACAGGAGAGGGGAACAGCAGAGGGGAACAGCAGAGGGAAACAGCAGAGGTCTTGAGGCGCGTCAGAACGTGACAGACCTGTCGATCACCTCTAGCCCCGCCGCTCCAACCCCCCTCTCTCCCACAGCCCCAACCTTCATCCCTGTCATCTCAATCCCCCAAAACCCCATCCCCCCCCCCCACCCTCCCCCCTCCCTTCACACCCCCCCTCCCCCCCTCTATTCGCTCTCCCCCTCCCCTTCCCCCTCCCGCTCCCCCTTCCCCCAATCCCGTGCACTCCCCCTCTCCCACCTGCGTGAAGCGCCCGATGGGGATGACCAGTCTGCCGACCAGACCTTCCTCACCGCCACCTCACCACCCCCATCTTGGCTGGCCCAACCATCTCCAATCCGCAATCCCCCCCTCTCCCAACCATCTCCAATCCGCAATCCCCCCCTCTCCCAACCATCCCCAATCCGCAATCCCCCCCTCTCCCAACCATCTCCAATCCGCAATCCCCCCCTCTCCCAACCATCCCCAATCCGCAATCCCCCCCTCTCCCAACCATCCCCAATCCCCCCCTCTCCCACCTGCATGAAGCGCCCGATGGGGATGACCAGTCTGCCGCCTGGCTTCAGCTGATCCACCAGGGCTTGGGGGAGCTCTGGCGGGGGGAGGGGGCGGGCGAGCGCGGGGAAGGAGGGGAGGCAACGGCATAGAAGGAAAGAACAGCGAATGACTTCCGCTGATCCGCCAGGGCTTGGGGGACCTCTCGGGGGGGGAAGGACAAAGGAGGGTGGGGGAGGAAGGTTGGGGTGGGTGTGGAAGGGGGGAGAAAAAGGGTATGGGAGGAGGGTGTCAGCAGTGTGCCGCTCAGCTTCAGCAGATCCACCAGGGCTTGGGGGAGCTCTGGAAGGGGGGCGGGGGAGCGAGAGCGGGGGGAAGTGGAGAAGGTCAAGGGAAGGAAGGGCTACGAGAGCAAATGACGTGGGGCCTGGGAGGCTCTGCTGAGCACCCAGCCGTCAAGAGCACCCGGCCGTCAAGAGCACCCGGCCATCAAGAGCATCCCACCCAGCCGTCCAGAGAACCCCACCCAGCTGTCAAGAGCACCCAGCCGTCAAGAGCACCCGGCCATCAAGAGCATCCCACCCAGCCGTCCAGAGAACCCCACCCAGCTGTCAAGAGCACCCAGCCGTCAAGAGCACCCGGCCATCAAGCGCATCCCACCCAGCCGTCCAGAGAACCCCACCCAGCTGTCAAGAGCACCCAGCCGTCAAGAGCACCCGGCCGTCAAGAGCACCCCACCCAGCCGTCGAGAGAACCCCACCCAGCTGTCGAAAGAACCCCAACCAGGCGTCAAGAGCACCCAGGCGTCAAGAGCACCCAGCCGTCAAGAGCACCTGGGTGTCAAGAGTGCCAGCAGATTTTCAAAATGACCAGGAGCAATAGCCCCCAGATGGATGATGCCATCATACGAAGCAGCATCCCTCAGGTAAAGGGTTCGCTGCATATACACCAAGGTAGAATCTTACGATCATGCTATACACAGCCTATCACACAGTGAACAGTGTCTCTCCATGAATAGTGCCCCACCATGAACAGTGCCCCACCATGAATAGTGCCCCACCATGAATAGTGCCCCACCATGAACAGTGCCCCACCATGAACAGTGCCCCACCATGAACAGTGCCCCACCATGAACAGTGCCCCACCATGAATAGTGCCCCACCATGAACAGTGCCCCACCATGAACAGTGCCCCACCATGGACAGTGTCTCACCACGAACAGTGTCTCACCAGGAGCAGCAGCCCCCACATGGATGGCATCATACGGCCCGGCATCAGGGTACCCCTCCCGGCCATCCGCCTCTAGAAGGGAGGAGGGGGGAGGGAGGCAGGGGAGGGACCAGTAAGTTAGTCAGTCAGGGCAAGGTGGTTGGTTGGTGGTAAGACTCGTGGATACAGGCAGGTGCTTTCGAGGATTCTCAAAAACACCCAGCAGAATCAGTCAGGGCAAGGTGGTTGGCTGGTGCTTAGACTCGTACGTTTCTTATCAACGCCTGTACTCCCATGTGGCCCGACATCAGCAAACCCCGCCCGCCATACGCCTCTGTCAGAAAGCGAAACGAGCCAAGATAACGAACACAACCCAAATCACAACCAGCATCTTCAATACGCTGCATGCCCCCTCCATTCTCCCCCCTTTAACACTTCCCCCTACGCCCCAACCCTCCCAGCATCTCATCTCAACCAACCATGAATCGACAGCTGTCCCTTCTCCATGAGTTCTGCCGCCCGCCCTGCTTTCACTGCCGCCCGGGACCGCTCCACGAGCTCGGGGATGTGCTCCACGCCCACCGCCCGCCCCGTGGGGCCGACCAGTAGCGCCATGACAGCTGTCAGGTAACCGGATCCCGACCCCACGTCGAGGACCCTGTTGCCGGGCTGGAGGTGTTTCTCGAGAATAGAGAGGCAGTAGCCGTGCTGCCGGGTGATAGGGTTGGGGGGGTGGGGGATGGGCGGGAGGGGACGAGGGGGTTTGGAATGAGAGAGAAGTGAGCGGAAGGGTGGCCAGACCCCACGTAGATGATTCTGCTGCCGGGTTGGAGACGGTTGTCCAGAATGGAGAGGCAGTAGCCGTGCTGCTATGGGGTGTGCGGGGGTGACTGGGAGGGATGGGGAGGGATGGGGAGGGATGGGGAGGGATGGGGCGTGTGTGTTCAGCCGTGCTTCAAAGGTGGAAACGGGAGGGGAGATGGGAGGTGGGGAACGTGGGAAGGCAAGGGAATCTGTTGCTGTTGCCATGCAGCGAGGCATGGCAGCAGCATGTGCGTTGAAACCTGCTCATGCACATGGAATGCCAAGATGCGTTGTTGCCATACCATGTGCTCACGAGCGAGCACGGCGTACATACCATGTGGGGTGCTGAAATGGTGGCGTTGAAACCTGCCCATGCACATGAAATGCCACATGCCATCGTGCCATCATGCCACATGCCATCATGCACATCAGATGTCAATATCGACAAGCGGTGATGCCATCCATGCCAAGGAGCACATAAAATCACACACATACAGTCACACACATACAATCACACACATGCAAGAATGCACATACCATAAAGAGGCATTTGGAGTGGGAAAAGGCATAGGGCAATGGAACAGCATCAGGACCTTGGCGTGAGAAGGCTCATGCAACTTCACACAAAGCCACCCCTGACCCCTTGACTTGGTCAACACGAATCCTGCTTGATCATAGTCCACATAATCATACACACCCATGGGCTGAGGGGAGTGGTCATAGGCCCTTGACCTGGTCAACGCACCTATGGGTTGAGGCGAGTCGTCATAGGCCCTTGACTTGGTTAACACAAAGTCAGCGCGGTCAATCTGCTTCATGGCCTCCGCGATGCCCTCCGATTGGACGATTCCGCTCCCTGGAAGGGAAGAGGATAGGGAATGCGAGGATGAATGCGAGGATGAATGCCAGGATGAATGTCAGCATGAATGTCAGCATGAATGTCTGCATGAATGTCAGCATGAATGTCTGCATGAATGTCAGCATGAATGTCTGCATGAATGTCAGCATGAATGTCTGCATGAATGTCAGCATGAATATCTGCATGAATGTCAGCATGAATGTCTGCATGAATGTCAGCAAGCATGTCAGCATCAACGTCTGTACAAACCTCTAAAAAAAATACTCCAACGTTCACATGAATGGGTACTGTATAAACGGGTATGTGATTGTCGTATAAGACTATATACATCAACATCTACACCAACAGCATCTACCCGACATATTCACGTACGGAGCAGCTTATCCACCATCTGGCCGTTAGTCTCGCCATGGCACGTCCAGCTCATGCTTCCGCTCCGCCTCACACGCTCCCAAAACTCCGAATCCTTCTCGCCTTCCCCTCCTATATTGCCGCTGCCTCCCTCTTGCGTCGCTGTCGCCGGCTCCGTTCCTTCCGTTTTCCCCAAGCTGTCACGGGCCTTGCCAGTATAGTCGCTGCTGGGTAGCCCGCCTCTCGCGGCGCACGATGGGGATGCGGGAACGAAGAGTGAACGTTCTGACACGAGAATAGACGCGACGGTGACGGCAAGAGCGGGTAGTGAGCGGAAGGAGCGGCGGAAATGGCGCCGGGAGATGCGGGAACACGAAGCGACTGAACTGGTCGAAATCATTCAGGAAGTCGTAGCTGAAGATGAGAAAAGGGAAAAAGAAAACGGTAGAATCGAGCACTACCTCGCTAAGTTTACCATGAACCAAAGCTTTCAACGAGCAGCAAGAACTTCGAAATAGGCGGAAATTGAAGAATCCAGCGGAGAATCCATGGTTCTTGATCCCAAGAATGAGCAAGAACGAGCGAAAATGATTTGGCTGAGGGCGCGTTCGCCCAAACGTAACTGCATGTGGCTGTTCTTGAAACCGAACCGAACGGAACCAGGAACGCCGAATTTCTTGCTGTTCAATTTGACTCTCATTGAACCGTTTCGCTGAAATTTGCCGAGCACGGGCTGAAATGTTCCAGGCACTGCAGTGTAGTGTGGGCAAACAAACACAATGCCCTGCGTCGTCGTTGTCGCAGCTCTGAGGTGTAGCCAATGGGATTTTCTTTGTGACCCGTGTTCATCCAATCACGTGGAACCATTCGCTTCAGGCCCCGCTGCATGATTCTTCATTCAAATTTGACGAAAAACGACGACCGTTTTGCTACCTGGTTACCTTGATACTCAATCTCGTTACCCAATAGCTATCGGAAGTAACAATTTATAGTTTCGCTGCCCCGACAGAGGCTGACAAATCAGCAGTGGACAATAGTCGCCATAGATGCCGTAGAGCACAAGCTACAAAGACCGCAAGCTTCCATGTCTCAGATGCAGTCTTTCCGCTCATAGTACCTTGCGTTTTAGCCTTCAAGTATGATAAACTAGGAAAACGTTCCTGCTACTTGAGATTATTCTGTCCGGCTCGATGCTTGCATTTCCTCCCAGGAGTTCAGCTCGTAGCCCAGGGGTTCAGCCCAGGAAAAAGCCTTTTTAGTCGCGCGAACAACATTCGCCGGTAGTCAGCCGGTCCCGCGTCTCACAGACGGTCATCTTCAGATCGTTCGCGGACACCGACTCCTGCCTTGAGAGAAGACATTCGCGGATTATCGGGGGAAATGGAGCAGGCAAACAGGGAGGACGGCACGGATCAGCTAGCAGACGCTGATGGAAGCCACAACAGGCCAGACGAGGACCGGGAAATGGACCCCATGGAGGCGACCGACGGGGGAGCAGCGAGCGACGTGGTAGGAGCGAGCGACCGGGGAGCAGCGAACGACGGGGAAGAAACGAATGATGGAGCTGCGAGGGAGGCGGGAGAGGATGTTGCTAGCGGTCGTGCCAGAACTGGTTACGGATCCACCGATGCGCTGCTCGATGGTTTCCTCAATGCCATAAATCCCGCGGTCGATGGTGATGGAGACAATCGTGCGGAGGGGGACAATAGCGAAGAAGGCAATAGCGAGGATTCGGAGGCGTTAGGCGAGGAGGATGTGGATTTTATCGGGGTTGACGACGATGGCACGATGGTCATCGATGAATTTGATGATGATGATGACTTAGACGACGATGATTTTGATGATGATTCCGAGGACGATAACGAGGAGGATCATAACGAGTTCGACGACCCGCTCTATAACGAGAGGAGGAGAACCGTGCTGAGGCTCGCGTCCGTGATAGCAGCAGCTCCGTTAGACGACTGGAGCAGAGTGAAAGGCGCGCAGGTGCACGAGGAGGCAAAGTATTTGCTAGATGACGCCTGCTCCACATACCGCCTGCCCTCTGGGGTGTGCCACCACCAGTAAGTCCCTGTCTCGCAGCAGTGGGTGCATGAGGAGCAAGAACTCAGGTCCACAAGGAGGCCTTCGCATGTACAAACTACCTGCTCTGGATGACGCCTGCACACATACCGCCTTCCAAACGGGGTGTGGTGGGCCACCATCATCAGTGAGCGCCTGAGTAGCAGCAGGGAGTGTGTAGCGTAGCGTAGCGTAGCCACGGCGTATGGTGCAGCAAGCTCGTTTCTGCACGCTCCATGCGGCGCCCTTGTTTAGGCCTTACTCCCCATGGACGCCCCATTTCCCCCTGCCTCCCCAGGTGCTGTGACACTCTCGTGGCTGGCCCCGGCCCTGTGGCCACTGCGTATGCTGCAGCAGCAGGCCCCTCTGAGAGCTCTGCGTCCGCAATCCCAAAGGTAGCGGCAGCAGCAACATCACTTTCCCAACAACAACCACCTCCTTCCCTCCCAACGCCTCCCTCCCACGCTCCCCCCTCCGCCTCTTCTTCCTCCTCCCCTCCGCCCCCCCCGCCATTCGCCCGGGAGGTCGTCTGCACAGTGCAGCGCATAGTGACGCTCTACAGCACGGCGCTGCGCCGCGTGGTGGCCATAACCTCGCTGCCCTCCGAGCCATACAGCGTCGACCGCTTTGGGGATGTCGTGGTCGCGGGGTGCTATGGAAGCGTCTGCATTTACCTTATCCGAAGGGAGATCGTCAAGAAAACAGGTGGGCTCTCTTCTCATTGTGCCGCGTGGTGGCGATCACCTCGCTGCCTGCGAGCGATACAGTGTGGACCGCTTAGGGGATGTCATCATGGGGGGGTGTTATGGAAGCTTCTGTATTTACCTCATCCGGCAGCAAATTGTCAAGAAAACAGGTGGGCTCTCTATTCTCATTGTGCTGCCCTGCGAGCCATACCGCACATCGTGAACTGCTTCGGAGGCGTGGTGGTGGTGGCGGGGTGTTATGGAAACTTCTGTATTTACTATACCTTATCCGGTGAGAATTCTCAAAAACACCCTGCACAATCGAAGACTGGTGGGTTCTCTCTTGTCCTCTGCCCTCTCTTGTCTCACTAGGGGCTACGTAGCGTCGCTCCATCCATAGTGGTGAGGTTTGATGGTAGCGCCTGTGAACTTGCCTCCCTTTCCTCCCTCGCCCCCCCTTGTTCTCCTTCTAACTCCCTTGCCTTTGCCTACCTCGCTCCCTCCCCGCCAAAAGCAGCTGGTTGGACCAAGGACGGCGCCCCAGAGCGCAATGCCTCCCCGCACCCCCCCCACCACCACCGCCACCACTACCAGCAGCAGCAGCAGAGGCGGGAGAAGGGACGAGTCGGTGAAGAGGAGGGGGGGAGATCCGGGGCGGAGGGGGAGGAGGAGGAGGAGGAGCGGGTGTGGTTTGAGGCAGCAGGGACGGTGGGGGGGTTTGAGAGCAGCTTGATAGGGTCCTCAATGTGCAACTCTGTTCGGTTTGGCACCGTTGGCAACTGGGTGCGTGGGGGGAGGGAGGAGGAGGGTCCTAGTGGGGGGGGGAAAGGGGAGGAGATTGGGGGAGTGTGAGCTTCAGCACTGTTAGAGCCTGGGTGCGTGGGGGGGTGAGGGGGGGGAGGGGGAGGAGAGTCGGGGAAGGGTGGGGCGGGGGAGGAGAGTGAGGGAAGGGTGGGGCGGGGGAGGAGAGTGGGGGAAGGGTGGGGCGGGGGAGGATAGAGGAGGCAGTGATGGAAAGCAAAGGGCATTGGTGGGGGGGTTTCGGAGCAGTCTGATTGTGTGTGTAGCACGTTTACTCATAAGCAATCCCGTGCTCTTCCCCACCCCATCCATCCCCCTTACACACCAAGCAGGTGCGCATGCTCGTGGCCCACCAGAATGGCTACCTCTACCTCTTCACTCTGCCGCCGCCCTTCCAGCCAGCCACAGCGCGCCACGTGGGCCGATCTGATTGGGTCTTTGGCGCCCAGAGCCTGGAGGACGCCCAGCAGATGGCCCTCGAGGCTCGGTGCCGAGGCTGTGAAGGAGGTCCGGGAAAAGGGGAGGCGGGGAAGGAGGATGGAGAAGGAATGAGGCATGCTGCCGCTGCTGGTGCTGGTGCTGCTGGTGCTGCTGGTGCTGCTGGTGCTGCTGGTGCTGCTGGTGCTGCTGGTGCTGCTGGTGCTGCTGGTGCTGCTGGTGCTGCTGGTGCTGCTGGTGCTGGTGCTGGTGCTGCTGGTGCTGCTGCTGGTGCTGGTGCTGCTGGTGCTGCTGGTGCTGCTGCTGCTGGTGCTGGTGCTGCTGGTGCTGCTGCTGGTGCTGGTGCTGCTGGTGCTGCTGGTGCTGCTGCTGCTGGTGCTGGTGCTGCTGGTGCGGGCGGCAGTGCGGGGCGGGATCTGAACCTGAGCGCAGCAGGGAGCGAGTCCAGAGCAGCTTCAGCCACAGCTGCTGCTGTCGCCTCTGCAGCTGCAGCCGCAGCGGTGCCGTCGCACTACCCCGCGGGCAGCGTGCCTCTGAACGTGAAACTCAGCCTGAGGGATCTCACCACCGTGGACATGCCGTGAGTAGCATTCTTCTCCATCAATCATCCCATTCTTACGACTTCCCTTCGCCATGGCCCCATTTCCTTACCATAACCTTTTGCCATGTGCGTCTCGTTCCCCCATGCCCTCCATGTGCGTCACGCTCCCCCATGCCCTCCCTCAGTCTCACAGCACGTCATGCCCCATGTCAGCGCCAGTGAACATTCGCACGGCCTCCCCAGGAGGGTTAGTGCTCACCACAGCACGACTCGTCAACGCCATCGGCCCCTTCCCCATGCCGCTCCCATGTCTCTCATACCTCCCGTATCTCCCACCCATGCCCTCAGGCCCCCATGCCCCCAACCCCAACCGCAGCACGTCAGCGCCAGTGAACATCTGCATGGCCTCTCCAGGAGGGCTAGTGCTCACCACAGCACTAGCCCTCGTAGCACAGCACAGCACAGCACCGCACAGCACAGCACAGCACGATTCGTCAACGCCTTCGGGGCCCCCCCCATGCCTCTGTGTGTCTCCTATTGCCCTCCCATGACTCTTATCCCTCCCCCCCCCCCTCAGCACGTCAGCGCCAGTGAACATTCGCACAGCATCCCCAGGAGGGCTCGTGCGCACCACGGCTCGCCTGGTCAACGCCATCGGCCCCTTCCCCATGCCGCTCAACTTCGCCCTCGTCTCGCCCAACGCAGAGTGGATCGCTGTTGCGGGGGACTTTGCTGCTGTAGGTTCCCTTCTACTCTTGCTCCTCCTCTTTTCATCTTGCTCCTCCCCTTCTCCTCTTGCTTTCCGTTCCTCTCCCCTTCCGCATACCGCTTACCCTCCCCCCTTATCTCTCACAACAAGGAATGGACTGCTGCTGCTGGGGCATTGCTGCTGAAAGTGCTGCTCTCCTTGCTTCCTCCTTTCTCCCCTCTCCTCCGTTCTCCTGCCCCCTCCCTCTGCTGTATGTACCCCATCTCCAGCCATCTTCCTCTTGTGCCACCTCCCTCTCTCCCCATGTTCCAGTTGCCCGTGTTCCCTTGTCCGAACGACCTTTTCCCTCCATTACTCCACCACCGTCTCCTTTTCCTCCGGTCCATTCCTTACCTCTCCAGGTGTGTCCGCTGGACCGTGCGTCTGGCTTCATGTGAGAGGCGCCTCAAAACTGTGTCCGCTGGACCGTGCGTCTGGCTTCACGTGAGAGGCGCCTCAAAACTGTGTCCGCTGGACCGTGCGTCTGGCTTCACGTGAGAGGCGCCTCAAAACTGTGTCCGCTGGACCGTGCGTCTGGCTTCACGTGAGAGGCGCCTCAAAACTGTGTCCGCTGGACCGTGCGTCTGGCTTCACGTGAGAGGCGCCTCAAAACTGTGTCCGCTGGACCGTGCGTCTGGCTTCACGTGAGAGGCGCCTCAAAACTGTGTCCGCTGGATCGTGCGTCTGGCTTCATGTGAGAGGCTCCTCAAAACTTTTCGTCCGGTCCTTTCCTCTCCAGGTGTGTCCGCTGGACCGTGCATCTGAGGCGACTTTTGAGGCAACTCAAGAGTGACTTCTGAGTCAACTCAAAAGTCTACCTTTTTCCTGCAAGTCCTCACCACTTTCTCTGTGTCTGTTTCCTCCGGTCCTCTCCTTTCCTCTCCAGGTGTGTCTGCTTCTGGAGAGGAAAGGACCAGAGGAAAACTGTGTCTGCTGGACCGTGCATCTGGCTTCAAGTTTTGAGGCGCCTCAAAACTGTGTCTGCTGGACCGTGTTTTGAGGCGCCTCAAAACTGTGTCTGCTGGACTGTGCATCTGGCTTCAAGTTTTGAGGCGCCTCAAAACTTCCTCCCGTCCTTTCCTCCAGGTGTGTCTGCTGGACCGTGCATCTGGCTTCAGCGTAAATTCAATGGCTATCAGGCGGATTCCAATGGCCTCTAGGATGACAAGGGGCGCTGCTCACGGATGCCAGGTCAGCTTATAACGAGTACAATCATGCGTCCTCACATTTTCTTTGCAAGTCTATCTACACTCACCTTTTTCCGTTTTGCCTGATGCGTTCATTCACTCTCTCTCTCACTCTCTCTCTCACTCTCTCTCTCTCGAACGGTCCTTCATTGCTCGGATTACCCTGGGTACATGCGAGGCATATAAGGTGAGTACAATCATGCATGGTATTTTGGCCGAGCTCCTAGTCTACCACGCCTCCCTCAGGTGCTCGATGACAGCGAAGCAATCCCCTAGGGACATGCCCGCGTCAGGAGCGCCGAGGGGAGGCCATTCGAGTGGTGAGGCGTCGTTCACCTTCCCAAGATAGGTGAGGGCTTGTCCCCGCTGGAGGGTGACAGACCAGCGCTGGCGGAACTGGCTAAGCAGTTTAGCTGCCTGGTAGGAGCTGGGGTCGGCGTTGAAAAGGCGGCGGGCGGCCGTGTGTGCTAGAAGTTTAAGGAAGGTTGGCACTTCGGCGCATGGGCAGCCGTACGTCTCGACCGCGAGCGGGAAGAAACCGACGTATGCTGCCCTGTGGCGGTAGTCGTCGATCTTCTTGTCCGCTTGCTCCCGGGCCATGTATCCTCGGCCCTTGCGCGCTAACGGGTCCCGAGAGCTTACTGGGTCGGTGACGGTGACGTCGCAGATCCAGACCGCCCCCGAGTCCCGGTCACGCACGGCCAGGTCGGCGGTCTTGCCATCGACCGGGTTGTAGATCGCTGTTTCCTTCGTGACTATGAGCTGCGCGTCCCGCCCCATGCGTATGCACTCGTCCCGGAGGGCGTTGTGGGCGTTGTGGGCGTTCCATTCTCTCTCTCTCTCTCTCTCTCTCTCTCTCTCTCTCTCTCTCTCTCTCTCTCTCTCTCTCTCTCTCCTCCCTACCCACCCACCGTTCAAACGCCCCCTCCCCTCTCAGTACCTGGCTTGGAACCCCTCATCCTCGTTACTAGCAGTCTCAAGCGACTCTTTACAAGCCGTTTACATGTGGGGCGTCTTCCGCATCCCCCAACCTTCCACTCCTGCCGCAACACAGCCATCACCGCCATCACCACCATCACCAGCTGCAGCACAACCATCAGCCGCAGCAGCATCAGCACAACCAGCAGCAGCAGCAGCATCAGCCCCAGCAGCACCACGGGTTCGGATGGTTCCTCTGGCGAAGTTGGAGCACGCCTTTCAGTCGCCCCCCCTCGCTCTGCAGTTTGATGCCTTCAACCACCACCTGCTGCTCGTTGTTGAGCGGTATAGTGCGGTGCACGCTGTGGACGTGCGGGCACCCCATGCCAGGCAGCAGATCCAAGTGGTGAGCTTGCAGGGTCAGGTGGTGAGCTGGCAGGGTCAGGTGGTGAGCTGGCAGGGCCAGGTGGTGAGCTGGCAGAGTCGAGAGGTAGATGCTCAAACCCATTCCAGTTTCAGTCATTCCTGCCCGTAAATGCTGTTCTTTCACTTGCGTTGAACAGAAAGATTCTGTTCTCTCCTGTTCTCTCCTGTTCTCTCCTGTTCTTTCCTGTTTCACCTGTCTTCCTTCCCTCTCTCTGCTCTATATCTACTCTATGCCCTCCTTTTCTCGTTCGTATGCAGCGCTGCCGAAGCCACTCTGCAGAGGGAGCAGAGCAGGGGGGGGAGGGGGAGAGGGAGCAGAGGGAGCGGAGAGAGGAGGCAAGGGAGGATGGCCGGTGGGCAGTTGCCCTAGGGGGACTTCCCACCGCCACTGTGCAAGATGCTGCTGCTGCTCCTTCTGCTACTCTTGCTCCTACCGCACTTGCTCCTACCGCACTTGCTCCTACCGCACTTGCTCCTACCGCACTTGCTCCTACCGCTCTTGCTCCTACCGCTCTTGCTCCTACCGCTCTTGCTCCTACCGCTCTTGCTCCTACCGCTCCTGCTCCTACTGCTCTTGCTCCTACTGCTCTTGCTCCTACTGCTCTCGCTCCTACTGCTCTTGCTCCCACCGCTCTTGCTTCTACTGCTGCTGACCCATCGGAGGCACGCAATCCCCCAACAGTGCAGTTCACGCTTCGCAATGGTGATGTTGACCCGCATGCCAGTCAACGTGCCATAGACAGTTATGTCAGGGTCACAACAATGTTGGCACAAGCGGGTGGTAGGTATGGTGTTGGTGCTGCTGGCGCTGCTGCTCCTGCTCCTGCTCCTGCTCCTGCTCCTGTTCCTCTTCCTGCCCCTGCTGGTGCTGGTGCTGTGGACCGTGTGTTTGGGGGCATGGTGGACGCAGTGCAGGACCGTCTGCGGCGGCAGCTGCAGCAGCTGGAGCATCTGCTGCAGCGCCGCAACCAGCCGCCCGTCAGCGAGGTTGTGGGGCTGGCGGCCTACTTCCATCCTGGTGTGCTGGTCTCCACAGAGAACACCGTCTTCCAGGTGAGCTGTTGCTGCTCGACTTTTGATTCGACTCAAAAGCTTCCACGTGTGCTGCTGCTGCTCGACTTCCTTGAGATGTGCTGAGGGCTGACGTGTCTCGATGCCCTGTGGAATGCAACCAGCCGGCTGTGAGTGAGGTTTTGGCGCTCGCTGCTTGCTTCCACCCCGCTGTGCTCGTGTCGACTGACAACGCTGTCTTCCAGGTGAGGCGTTTTTTGGGATATTCATGGTTCCGTGTTCCGGTGTCGCCGAAACAACGGCTGCTGTTTACCACACCCTCCTTGCATGGTTCCAGGTGAGTTGCTCTTCGACTTGAGGCATTTCCGAGGAGTGTTTGCCTGGTGGAGTAGTTTCGTTTTGAGTCGACTTAAAGCAAAACTACTATCACACACGGTTTGTTTGGTGGAGTAGTGAGCAGCGTGCAACGCGACACACCACCATTTCCTTCCCCCCCCCCCCCCCCCCCCGCCCTCCTCCCCTCCCTCCATTCAACTGCCTGCAGTATTCGCGCATGGGTGCCTGGACACCCTCGTCACACCGGCTGTACCCCAAGCGATTCAAGGAAGTGGTTCGGCTGCTGCTGCTGGGGCATCATGCCTGTGGGCCATGGGACTACAGTGCTGCCAACAGCCAAACACAGGCTGACAACAGGTGTGTGCTTGTTTGGCCACATGTGCTGTCCATATCCCCTTGAACACATGGGGTGGTTCGGCTGCTGCTGTTGGGGCATCATGCCAGCGGATCGTGGGACTACAGTGCTGCCAACAGCCAATCACAGGGTGACAACAGGTGTGTTCTTCTATGGTGACATCCCAAGATCTACCAACATCTTCGTAGTTGTCTGCATTTTCGTAGCTATTTTTGACAATTCTCAAAAATCACCTATCAGTGCTTCAATCACTGTCCGTGCTTGTTTTTCTCTTTTACTGTACCTCATAGATGCTTCAATTGTTTTCACGCCTGACTTATTCCTGCTCTTTGTGATGGTATATTTTTTCCTTGGTTCAGATACCTATGGCTACTTCCACTCGAGGTGCTTCTTCAGATCATAGGACACTCAGCTACACCTCTTTCTGCATGGATTGGAGACGCATAAACCACTTGTTAGATATATTTTTCTCTTACACGAGTTCATTTGTGTTTAGGGTAGCATGAAAAAACGTACTGTGCTGTAAATCATGGTTTTTTGCTCTACTTCTAAGATAAACCACGAAGTTTCAAGTGAATCCCTAGTGTTAGAGTAGCGCGAGAAAAGTGACTAAGGGGAAATATCGAGAGGTACAAGAGTGGGGTCGTACCCCCTAGGGACTGACCAATCTAGGATATAACAAATATATACTAACTAGCTTATGCATATTCCAGGTGTGCGCTGTCAAACATGTGTATTTGTTATGTTTGCATAGACTGTATAGGGTGACCTCTTAGAGGGTACAATACTTAGGTATATCTATCTGTACTCTCCCATTACTCATCATTCTTCTCTCTCATTCTGATATGGTATCACGCGTAGGTTAGGATCCCCCCACCTACCGCTTCCGCTCGTTCCCTAGCTAGGCCCCGCCGCACCTCCCCCCGACCCCCTGGGCCCCGTCGTGCCCCTAGCCCTGCCGCGCCCCTCCTGGGCCCCGTCGCGACCCCCTAGCCCTGTCGCGACCCCCCTAGCCCCGTTGCGACCCTCTAGCCCCCTCGCGACTCCCTGGGCCCCGTCGCGACCCCCTAGCCCCGTCGCGACCCCCTGGGCCCTTCGTGCCCCTAGCCCTGCCGCGCCCCGTCGCGACCCCCCTCGCCCTGTAGCGCCCCTCCTGGGCCCCGTAGCGCCCCTCCTGGGCCCCATAGCCCCCCCCCTCTTGGGCCCCGTAGTGCCCCTCCTGGGCCCCGTAGCGCCCCTCCTGGGCCCTGTAGCGCCCCTCCTGGGCCCCGTAGCGCCCCTCCTGGGCCCCGTCACGCCTTCAGGCCCCGTCGCGCCCTGCCCGGCTCCAGCGCACCCGCCCGGCCCCGTCGCACCCGCCCGGCCCCCATCGCACCCGCCCGGCCCCGTCGCGCCCTGCCCGGCCCCGTCGCACCCGCCCGGCCCCGTCGCACCCGCCCGGCCCCGTCGCACCCGCCCGGCCCCGTCGCACCCGCCCGGCCCCGTCGCCCCGCCCGGCCCCGTTGCGCCCTGCCCGGCCCCGTCGCACCCGCCCGGCCCCGTCGCACCCGCCCGGCCACGTCGCACCCGCCCGGCCCCGTTGCGCCCTGCCCAGCCCCGTCGCACCCGCCCGGCCCCAGTTGCGCCCTGCCCGGCCCCGTCGCGCCCGCTCGGCCCCGTCGCGCTCTCCGGGCCCTGTCGCGCCCTGCCTCGCCCCGTCGTGCCCTGCCTGGCCCTGCCACGCCCGCCCGGCCCCGCCGCACCGGCCCGGCCTCTGCGCTCATCCCTGCCCCGGCCCTTGCATCCTCACTGGTACGGTTCCCCCCTCCCTGCACCGCCCTGCACCGCACTGCACTGCCCTACATTGCACTGCACCGCCCTGCACCGCACTACACTGCCCTGCACCGCCCTGCATGGCCCTGCACCGCCCTACATCGCACTGCACAGCACTGCACCGCCCTGCACTGCACTGCACTGCCCTGCTTTGCCCTGCACCGCACTGCACTGTACTGCCCTGTCCTGCACTGCCCCTGATGGCGGCGGAGCTTCGGTTCGACGCTGAAGGCCAGCCTCTGGAGTTCGAGGCGTGGCTTGCCGACCTCCGACGCCAACTCACTGGCCAGCGGCAGGATGGTGAACCGCTGTCCGCACACCTTGACGGTACGCTCCCCTGCCCAGACCCCCCTGCTGTTCTGCCCGCTGACTCCACACCCACTGAGCGCGAATCTACTGCTGCCACTGCCCGTGCGCGCTCTGTCTGGCTTTCTCGCGATGCTGTCGCTCAGCTTGCCATTAGCAACGCCCTTCCCCCGTCCGAACGCCCTCGCTTTAGGTCCCTCACTACTGCTCAGGCTTACTTAGATGCTGTCATCAAGCGCTATTCCACCCCTCCGGCTGCCTCGGTGGGTCGCTTGATCCTCCCGATGCTCTTTCCTGACCTTGCGTGTTTCCCCACTGTCTCTGACCTCGCTGCCCACCTGCGCTCGATAGATGACACCTGGCGCGCTGCCTGCACTGACGCACAGCTTAGAGCCCACCAGCCGCCCATTACCTCTACCCTTTACCTGCTTGCCATCCGCCTCCCTGACCGCCTTGCTGTCGCCCGCGACCGCTTCCTTAGCATTCACCCCGCAGACCTCACCCTCACTGACTTTGTAGACACCCTGACTGTGATTGAGACCCGCCACCGCTCCATCGCCCAGGCGAGTGGTACCGTGCCGGTCCCTATCTTTCAGGGTTGTGCCCCCGCTCAGTGTACCTTCTCCGACAGCTCTGCCGCTGTGGCTGAGACTGCTGCTGCAGCGCAGTCTCGTTCGGGGAAGGGCCGCCGCCCCAAAGTTGGGTGCGGCGGAGGAGGCGGGGGTGCGGGCGGGGGTGGTGGTGGAGTCGGGTCGTCTGGTGCTGGAGCGGACTAGGGGACCCTGCCCAGTCCAGCTGAGCCGCCGCCTCTGCAGTCGCAGCAGCAACAGCAGCCACAGCAGCCGCCGCAGTCGCAGCAGCCGCAGCCTTCGCAGCAGCCGCAGCAGCCGCCGCAGACGAGGCAGACGAGTGTACTCCCGCCCGGGTGGCCCGGTGCTGGCGGTGGTCGGGCGCGTGGTGGTGTGCCGAGTGGTGGTTCTGGAGGCGTTCGTTGTCAGTACCAGATCCAGACCGGTCCTCGCCGCGGTTTCGTTTGCAGTAAGATCGGTCACTCCACTCCCCGCTGTTTTCGTCGCCTGGACGACCTGTTTCGTCAGCGCTTCGGCCCGTCGCCAGACCTCCCGGACTGGCACAGTTTGCTTAGTCGTAAGATTCAGATTTTTGACATGGACATGGATGCTATTGTTTCTGCTTTGCATGTGATGTATGCTGATGACTCTAGTGTGCTTCCCGCTTATTACTCAGTGCCTAGCTTAGCCTCCCCTGCTGCGTCAGGCGTAGAATCCACTGCTTTGTGTAGTCTTGGTGCTTCCGCCGTTGTTCCGTCGCCAGACGCCTCTGCTTCGCTTTCCTTCACCTTGGACTCTGGCGCTTCCCGGTGTTTCTTCCGCGACTCCACCACCCTGACGCCGCTTCCTGTTCCTGCTGCCGTTTCTCTTGCTGACCCCTCCGGCGGTCCGGTAGTCGCCCGCAGTTCCACCACCCTTCCCTGTCCGGCGGTTCCTTCAGGCACTCTCACAGGTCTGCATATCCCCTCGTTCTCCAGGAACCTAGTTGGTGTCGGCTGCCTCCAGGACCTTGGCGTCACCACTACGTTCCCTGGTCACGAGCGGTATGCTGTCTGTACCGAGGCCGCCACTGGTGCCCCCCTGTCCACGTTCCCCCGGGACCCGGTGTCCGGCCTGTTCACTCTAGACACCGTGACCCCCCCGGCTGGAGCGCTCCCTCAGGTGGCTGCGTCTACCCAGGTTGCTGCTGCCTGCTCCTGTCGGTCCCTCACTCACCCGACTCTCCTTTGGCACCACCGCCTAGGTCACCCTGCGCTCCCGCGTCTGCATCACATGTCCCAGCACGGTCTCGTCCTTGGTCTCCCTGGTTCTCTCCCCGCGTTTCCCTCCTCCCCAGCCCCACCTTGCACGCCTTGTGTCAAGGGTCGGCTTCGGCGTGCCCCTCACTCTGCCTCTTTTCCCCCTACCGCCGCGCCGCTGCAGACCCTGCACCTTGACGTCTGGGGCCCCGCCCCCGTCCCTGGGCCGCGTCGCGAGCGCTACTTCCTTGTGCTTGTCGACGACTTTACTCGTTACACCACAGTCTTTCCCCTGGAGCGCAAGGCCGACGTGCCTGGCGCCCTCATCCCCTGGCTTGTCTCTGCGCGTGTCCACCGCGGTCTCCCTGTCTTGCGTCTTCACTCCGACCGTGGTGGCGAGTTTGCCTCAGGTGTCCTTGGTCGCTTTTGTCGTGCGGAGGGCATCACCCAGACGTTCACCCTACCGGACTCCCCACAGCAGAATGGGGTCGCTGAGCGACACATCGGTTTGGTCATGGAGGTGGCTCGCACCTCCATGATCCATGCCGGTGCACCCCATTTTCTGTGGCCGTTCGCTGTGCGCTACGCTTCTCACCAGCTTAACTTGTGGCCGCACCCTCAGCAGCCGCAGGTTTCGCCGACCCGTCTTTGGACTGGGTCTCCTGGTGACGCGTCTGCGTTTCACGTCTGGGGCTGCCTTGCTCACGTCCGTGCCTCCGGCACGGACAAGCTCACTGCCCGCACCCTTCCCTGCGTCTTCCTCGGCTTTCCCCTTGACGCGTCCGACTGGCACTTTTACCACCCGCCGTCTCACCGCTTCTTTCACTCTCGCGACGTCACCTTTGACGAGTCCGTCTCTTACTACCGTCGCTTCCCCCACCGCGGTCCCCCGGTTACCCACCCCCTGTTCCTGGTCACTCCTTCCCCGGTAGTCCCTGCCCCTCCCCCTCCTCCTCCCCGTCCTGCCCCCTCTGGTGTGTCCCACGTCACCCCCCTTCCGTCGGTGGACCCGGTTGAGGAGTCTTCTGACTCTGGTGGCCCTGCTGCGCAGTCCTCGCCGGCTGCACCTCCACCGGCGTCCCCTCCCCAGTCCCCTCCTCCACCGCCTCTGCCGCCGCTGTACCCGTCGGTGTCGCTGCCACCGCCGCCGCCGCCGTCGCAGCACCCGTTCGCTGACTCTGGGGGTGCTAGTACCGGTAGCCCTGGGGGTGGTTCCTCTGGGGGTGCTGGTGTGGAGTGTGCCGGTGGTAGCCGAGGAGCAGCTTGCAGTCCCGGTGTCGCCGTTGTGCCGCCGGAGCAGCAGTCCCCGCCGGTGTCCGCCCTTCGCCTGCTCGGCCTTCTGTCCCCTGACCCTGCGGCTGTTCCTCTCCGCCCGTCTCCTCCTCTTCCCGTCTACGGCCCTGTGTTCCCTCCGCCGGACTCGTCCCCGGCCCGTCTTCCCCCTCGTTCCCCTCCTGTGTCCCCTCCCCTGTCTCCTGACCCGACTCCTCCATCGCACGTCTGGTCTCACCGTCCCTCCCGTGCTCGTCCTGCCTCCCCTGTCTTGCGCTCCCACCCTATGTTGCTTCGTTCCCACGCGCCTCGTCCTCCCTTTCTGCCGTCGCCTCCTCCGTCCTCCCTTGTTGTTGCACCCCC